ACCGGCCATCTATCCATTTCAGTCTCAGGTTCAAGCAGTTTTATCTATCACACAAGCAACACCTTTCTATTTCACTATATGGGTTTACAGGACCTAATGAAAACTCTCTTATTGCCTAGGAATTCCTGGCGGTACGAAGGGTCATTTACCCAGGTCAGGATTGTTCATATACAGTAGAAAGAATAATTTCCTCTATTACAGCCATTACTGGCAAAAATCAATGACCCCTGTTAAGCTGGAGGCCAAGGTAAGTAAATGCAATAGTGCTTTCTAGTTTTAGAAGCTCCCAGAGCATCAGAGACGTGTCTCCCCTTCCACATGCATTGAGGATAACTACCTAGCCATCTTGGCAAGATTCCTATTAGGGCATCAAAATTCCTAGTACTCCCAAGGTCAAAAAAATTATTTTAGTTGCAACTGAAATGCAATCTTCAGCCAGCACTGAGATGGTCTAATTGATGGGGAAAAAAAAATTTCAGAAGACTTCCTGTAGTTCAAGTGTAGTGCTCCCCTATAAACGACAACAGCATCAGACAGCTCAGGGGACTTCAGTCGCAGGACTTGTGATGCAAAAGCAGTTCGGGTCTAATGCAGAAGGTTCAGCTCTGCTGGTGTGCCTGTCCCCGTGCCTTTTCAGAGCAATGCCTGCTGAAACTGCTAAACTTAATGGTCCCTTTGACTTTTTCACTGCATTTCACTGAATTTTTAGAGTTGGAAGGGACCATAGAGATCACCTAGTCCAACTCCCCTGCTAAAGCAAAGGCCTTTTGTTTGCAAAGGGCATGGGTCCTGAGGACGAAGTGAGCTAAAGCCATTGCACTCACAGCACAGTAATTGCTGCTCTTCAGCTTTTTCTTTATTACTTTTTTTATTTTGTTTGTTTTTTTCTGTAGATTCAGGCCAGGAAGCAGACGGCCTGGCCAGCCCTACCCCTCTCTGCTTGCAGCGCACTACTTTTAGAAGTGGCTTATTGCTCTACTGCCTTTTTCTTCTTTTTTTTTTTTTTTTTTTTTAAGCCAAATGTGCAATGATGGATTTGGCAGCCACGCTCTCGCCAGCCACCCCCAGGCAGCTGATCAGCAGTAGCTGAGCCGCAGGGGGATGCAAAGGCTGCTCTCTCCCTGTTCTGCAACAGGGGAAGAGTTTCTCTGTCGGGAACACTGAGGTTAGACAATGAAGGAGGGTCTCAAGCAAGCTGCAAGAGCAAGTTCATCCGTATTTGCAAAATTTACAGCTACACGACATGCAACTGGTGGCAGGGATCTGCATGTATGGAAGGGTCTGCCTTCCCTTCATTAACCTCTTAACCAAAAAATCTGGTGTTGCAGTATTTCCTACTGAATTACCTTTTCGTTTTTAAACCGTGGATCAAAACCATCCAAAGTGAAAAACTTTTCCCTGCATTTGTTTGGAACCCTGGCACAACATTACTAGCATCATTTAAGTATGGACCAGGACTCAGTGGCCACCAAACCTGCACCCTGCTGATTAGCATGCCTTACAGTGTCTACCAGACATTTGACTTAAGAACCCCAAGGATTTCATTGCTCAAGCACTTTATTAGATCCCTGAGCCTAAAAATGGCTTTCAATGATGCGAGCGCCGCTTTGGGGCCTCAGAAAAGCTACTCTGTGAGCTAGGAGACATTTCCTAGGAGGCAAAAATGTGTTCAAAACCGATTTGATAAAAAGGAGAAGGGGTAATGATGGTTTTTAACTACAGTCTTATTTTGTTTCATCTCAGAAGTGTGCTCTAAGTTTAGGAGAGAGGAACAACTATTGGACTTTGGTTTGCATTTTTTTAAAAATAAAATTATTCTCATCTAGGCTTGGTGGGGGTTTTTTCCCAATAAACCTAATAAACTATATATTGGAATGACCTTGTAACAGGTTTCTGTGGCTCTTTAATCACCAGTGGCTGCTAAATGAAGCATATCTATTTTCTCTGTTACATTACTATTGGCAACCAGGTCTTCAGTAAGTGCCCAGAAATATTTCCATGGCAACAAAAAGCATTCAGCATTGCTACTGTTTTGTGCCAATTTAGCTTTAAAATATTCTATTGTGGAGAGAAATATGGTACATTAAGTGAAATAAAGTCAAGATGCAATGTTCTGAAAAGAATATAAGGATAAACAGGAAACGTATTTTGCAGAAACGGCGAAATGGAAGAAAAAAAATGTTCAAAGCTAATATTGATGCTACTGAACGCCTTCGCTGAATGTCAGCAAGTCCATATGCTCGCTTACATTGTCACTTAGGGTTAGGTAACAAAGCTAACAGAAATAAGGATACCTCAAACACCTTCTCTTGATCATTTTAATCCGTGACTGAAATTTTAAGTTGCCAGGGTATTACAGCCTCTCCGCATGTCTAGGCTACCATCGGAAGAGTTCATACCCTTGATGTTAGAGAGTGAATCTAAAGGAAGAAGAGGAAACAAAGAGTTGAAAAATGAAATACAAAGAGCATGTGTGTGTTTTGGAAGTGAAGGGTCACTTAGAAGAGCAAAATGAGTTCTTCCACATCAAAAATCTCGCGGAAGCCATTTTCAAATCACAGTTCAACACTTTCTCTCCCATTATACAACTTAGTTCTGAGAAAAAAGGCATCAGTTCCCAGCCCTCCAACTCTCAAACAGCCAACTTCATGACTATAATAGAGTCTTGAGACCACTGGATGGCCCTTTGTGCAGTGCATTGCAGAGATAAAAAGACAAAAAACTATTTGAAAGCATTTGGTGTGACATTCCCTCTGGTGTAAAAAACTATGCGATGCCCTCTGAAGTGCTTTGTGTGGAAGTAGAGAGCTCTAGAAGCAGTGTAGGTGCTGGGGTGCTCCGTAAGGCCAGTCCACAATGGCCCCAGACAACTTATGAGAAGGAAAGCCAATAAACATTAATTGAGAGTCCAACAGCAACTTCTCTTAGCTGGGAGAGAGGTTCAGAGTGACCCTCTCCTTTAGCTGCAGTGGAACTAGATGATCTTTAAGGTCCCTTCCAACCCAAACCATTCTACCATAGGCTACTCTAGCGTCTGACTGCCACTCTACGCACCTCTCACCAGGAAAACACATCTGGTGTTCCTAAGGACCCTCTTTCTCAGGATGTCCCTGATGACAAGACTCCAGGTGAGAAACTGCTCTGACAGTGACAGCAGCCCATTCCTGGCCCCCATCTCCCTGAGAGCTCACCACCTTTTCTTCCATCTACTGTGAGCAAGGGGTGCAGTCCAGAGACAGGACCAAATCTGAAGACCACCATTGGAATAACTCATTTGGCACAAGGCTGCTCCCATGTCCGACCCTGAGGAGCCCCAGGTTTTGCCAGGAATCACTCCCACGGCCCCTCTCGTGGATATAGGCTCTGCCAAAGACAAACTTGTGCCCTGGATAGAACTTGGCCAGAAGGCTCCATCGCCCCAGCACTCCCTGGAAGGACCCTACATGCCCTGCTCCGTGGCATCTGTGCACACACCGGACACACAATCCAAGCACAGAGGGTAAATCCAGCCCCACAGCATTGACTTGGTGCCTACGAACAAACCCCGTGGGAAGGATATCACACATGGGGGTACCAGGAGGCAGGGGATCTCTACAGGTTTAGAGGCTGGGCTCCAAGAGGTACAGCTCTGGGGTGCTCAACCTGAGAAGTGGCAATCATTCATCCGGAATATGAAACCAGCAGCCCCAGTTTGGGGGACAGAACAGCTAGACCGAAAGCTCTTTTAAATTATTAACTCCCTGGCCATAACAGCGTGAGGAATAGTAATAAAGACGAGAGCTAATTTTAACATTCATTAAAGAACACTGTCAAGGTTTATACCCTCCCAGTCTGATATTCCTATTAAATACAAAAACAAACAGGCTGATCTTCCGCAGCCTGCACAGAAAAGGCTAAATATGTAAGACTTCCCTAGAAGCCAAGAGTGATTAAAAGCTCTTGGTCATTACAAAACAAACCTTTTCAGTAGCATCTACTGCCTGCTTCAAAAAAAAAAAAAAAAAAAAGGGATTTAGATCTTTGAAGCCAAATTCTGAAGATGCTCGGTGAGTCTCAAGTTCTTCATCAGCTCCACATTGTAGACCCCCTCCCGCCCTTCCTTTCCTCCCTTATCCTCCCTTCCTAGGATATTTGTAAAGAGCAGCTTTAACTCAGCAAGACCCGAGGGTGGTGTCAGCAGGACTGCAGCTTTCCTGCTTGCTGATGGGACATCCATTTCCATCAGCCCCCTGTGACCCAGGTAACTTCCAGCCCCATTTACGGTGATATTTAGTGAATACAAATGAAGTGGCTGAGATTCAGTCCTGAACACAAGTGCCTGAAAACGCTGCTCATGTCACTTCATGATCAGAAGTCACAGTTAGGCCTATTTAAAACTGAAAACATCAAATTCAGTTTCTCCTTCCCATAATCTCCTGCCTGCTGTCCTCTTCAGTCTTATTTGAAAAGCCTGTGGGGGTGGTGGGAGGGGAGGAAAGCGATTTGGGAGCCTTTCATCCATAAAATCATGAGATATGGCTGGCTTTTTAGTACAGCATTTCAAAGCACATGGCACAGTAACATCTTGAGATTTCTGGCACACACAAAAAAAAAAAAAAACCAAGGTTTGAGATTATATATATCCTTAATAGCAATGACTCAATGACAGATGGTTCTCAAAAGCTAAACGCTCCCTTTGAAGGGTCCTGCTACCAGAAACAAAACACGGGGGGAACAAAATACTCCTTGTTACAGCAACATGGGCCGGTTGCCTTCTAATACACAGCATTTCACCCAGGAGATCTCCACTTATTTCAATGAGATTAGTCTCACAAATGAGAGAAGAATTGAAAACAGAAGAGGAAAGGTTAGATATTTCGTCAGGATTTGGAGAGTTTTATTTTAGCTGTGGGAAACAAAGGCAACACAGAACATAATGAGCAAAATTAGCAACTAAATCAAATCAATGCTAGAAAAGAGAGGTCTGGATAATACTGTCAGGGCACGTGGCAGCTGCTTACCTGCAAATCTTGCCTTGCCATTATTACGTTTTAAGGAGCCACCCAAGCTGAGGTTGTGCTCATGACCTCCTGTCCTCACTGAGGGCTCACCTTCTTCCTCAGAAATGGGAGGAAGCTGGAGCTGGAGCTGGTCGAGCGGCTGGAGTTCTTCATTTGTCCAGTAGGATCCATCGGTGGCTGAAGACCTGGTGCTTTCAACACACTGCTCTGGTAAGCTGCCGGCATTTTTAACCCATTTTTGTCTCTGCAGACCCAGGTCAGAGCCATGAGGGAGGTCTTGTGAAGCAAGATCAGGACCCTCAATGTGACCGCCTTCTCTAGGGTATAAGTATTCCCCACCGGAATACCGATCCAGGTGACGTTCATCATCTGATTCTTCCAAATAATCCTCATAAACTCCTCCATTATTCTCCAAGTCCTGGTTCCTCTCTTCTTCTGACTTACGACCCACTCCACTCAAATTCAGCAGTGAAGCAGATATAGAGTCTCCTGCTTGTTGGATAGCTTCATATATTTGAGACATCCAAGAAGACAGTGGCTGAAGGAAATTCTGAGCAGCCTCAGAAGCCATGTTCAACACTATGCCAGTATCTGATGCTCAGTTGTTCAGCTTTGCCCGCATGTCACTTGTAATTCAGGGAGCTACAGAATAAGCACCATAAGAGATTATTGTAAATTGCTTGTCCATCAACACCTGTCGACACACTATCTGCATAAGATATCTAGAACCGAGAGGAGAAATGGAAAAAGCACTTCTACCCATTGAGAATACCACTAGAAATCAAAAATGATGGACAAATTACACATACTCCTGCAGAGAACTGGAAAGCTTTCACTCAATTGCTAATTTTATAAAAATAAAAACACAGAACATCATAACAGAAGTACCTTTTCTGAAGCACACATATTCTGGTTACAGCTGTCAACAGACCTGGTAAAATAAAAGTAGAAAACAGCCTGTGGTCAAAAATCTCAAATAATTTCCCGGTCCTGACTTCCACTATATCCTTAGCATTAACGTGTCCAGATGGGAAAATTGAAGGGTGAAGAATTTGGGAAGAATTATATTTTGATTTATTAAAGTGACGGTCCTAAAGCATGCAGAACCAGCCCATGGCAGACAATTATCTTAAATGCTTTGCTCCAGAAAGGCTCTGGAGAAGCTCTTCTCTGCCCACAGAGGAACACAAGACAGAGTTGTTTTGCCCTTCACAGAAATTAAAAGAAAACACACAGGAGGTAAAATATTACAGGTATACAATTGCTGGGAACAGAAGCAAGTTAACAAAAGCATTGCTATCATGTCAATATGATACGTTTTCCCAAAACTCATCTAAACCCCCAAATAAAAGCATAACTTGCAGAATGTTAAGGTGCCTTTTGGCCCAATATACATCTTCCCACGCTATCACAAGACAGATATTCTTTTAGGAACTCTGAGAAGGAGAAACCTACACGTAGGATGATGGGTTTAGGAAGAAAGAATTAAATAGCTGCAGATTTTAGGCTAAAAGACAACTAAGAAGAAGTAAAAAGAAGCTTCAAAAAGTAATACTGGTGTCTTTGTGAATTTAGAGGTCTAGCAGCAAAATACAGTATGAGCAGCAAGAAAAGAAGCTCAGCAGCAATGTGTATTACCCTGTGAAATGGCCTCCAGAGAAATGTAGTGGAAATCCTAGTGCTTTGGGTTTTAAAATGGAACATGCACTACTAAGAAGACCTCACCTCGCTTAGCGGGCAGCTTTTTTACAGATGACATCAGTGACTGGAGAGTCTTTACCTCTTGAAACACCTGGGCTGGATGATTTTGTTCAGTGGTGTTGACTTGCACTGCGGACACCTCCAACAAGTTAATTACCAGCTTCAGTGTGTACTAAGAATTACAGTCCTGACAAGGGCAGTAAATGAAGGTGGGTTACTAAAGTTGTTTTAAAAGCGGATGGGTGTTACCAGCTCACTGGGCTCACGCTGTCCCACTATCTGCATGTCAACTGCTGGGACCCCAGGTATCGCTCCCTGCCACACGTTAAACCTTGGTGAAGAACACACAATGTCTGCAACAGCAAATGAATCTCTGACTTCTGATGAAAGGATGCTTCACAATGCTCTGCCTCCGTCTCAGCAGCAAGATACACGACAGCAGTAGCCCTTGGAGGGAGGCTGGCATCCAGGAGCGACAGCTAACCAATGCAGATAAAACATATGGGTGCTAAAATGAAGCACCGATCTGTTCTAAAAATCAACAGAACATAAGACTTGTGATATTTGCACAGGGAATAATTAGCTCCTCTTGTTATTAGGTTTCAGAGCTAACATCCAGTTGGTCCAACGGAGCCATCCCACTTCTCCTGGATGCTGTCTCTGGCTGCGCCACGGCTCAGGTGAACATCGTGGTCCTGCAGGAGAGACTCTGCATCAAGGAGGTTGGCATCACAACCCTACAGACGGAGGGAGCTTTTCAAGGCAAGATTTCCTTTAGTCATGGAATTAAAGCAGCCATCTACAGTCACCTGCAGGGCTCGGATGTGGTCACCCAGACATCAAAGGAGGCAGATAAGACTTGAACGTGCATCTTTCATACACCAAGTGGTTGCCCCGATCATCTCAACGATGGGGGTGGGAGAAAACATAATGCTTGCACACATACCCACCTCCACAATGCTACCCAGACCTGGAAATTTGTCTGGATTCAAGCCAGAGAACCCCAGCAAAAAAGCCCAAAAACCCCAACTGAAACTTGATTTCAGTTTATAGACTATGGGTAGACACTGAAGTATACGTCACCCCAAAAATCCGGACCACTTTGCAGTGATACCCGCAACGCACCCATACAACTTGGCAATCCAGTGCCTACACAATCCCTACAGACAAAAGAAATGCCACTTCCACACCGCCTGGCTCTGTTGAGCCTTTGCTTGGCTCTTCCTCTCATCCTTATCCTCTTATTGGAAACTCAACAGTCGGTGATACACTGAACAACTGGAGTTCAACCGAATTATAAATTGCTTATTTTTGGTCTTGTAGCAGATGGAGAAAATGTGTAACAAGCTGCAGAGAAGTTTAGGCAGGCAACGTTTTCACAAACTTAACAGAGGAGCAAAGGGGGGTGAGCTCTGTTATAGGCTTGCTGTTTCCCAGGAGCTCTCTCCCTTAATTAGCAGGCAATGCTCTAATGGGGTGTTTATGATGTATTCCACAACACGGCCTTTTCAACATAACGGATTTTTACTTTTGAATTCTCTAAGAATTTTGACTTGCATTAGAAAAAAAAATATAAAAGAACTGAGAACATTTAAAATGCGTGGGAAAGAAAAATCCATTTCTTTTTAAAAGCATTCATCAAAAAAGAGAGAGAGAAAAAAAACAACAACAGTTTAGCAAGTTCACTTCAAGTTCCATCTTCTAAAAGTAACCACAAGATTTTCACACTGAATCGCCTGCCTAACTCAAAAGCTGGGTTGTTTTTTTTCCTCTTGGAAAATCAGATTGCTAAATGGATCAATGTTAAACCTCTCAGAAACCATCATGAACTTTACTACAATCTATATTCCCTTGTCTTGATAGGATCATTATTCCTGAGTAGCGTTCCCATTGAGAGGTGAAATTACTGTAGGGCTAAAAAAAGAAGACTATTAGCAGAATTTCAAACGCCACCACAATGCAGGGGTTTGTAATATTAGCAAAGTGTCTTTCAGTCTTCTTGATATGCAGGCTTCTAAAAAACTGCCATCAGATGTGCATTTCTTACAACGATTTCCCTTATTCAAGCTGTTGTAGAGCGTAGGCACAAACTTCCTTTTCTTCAGTCACTTTCTGGCCCTCACAAAAGTTTTCTACCAAACCCCTCCCTTGGAGGGAGGCCTGTAGACCACAGGTTGAAAACAGCCCCAGCATATAATAACTGAACAATTTTCAAGTGAGTGCTTATTTCTGAAACACTAGATGAAGAAAAAATCTCAGCTCTCTGCCTGGGAATGTACTGTCCCATGTAGAGACACAAGAAGAGGAAATCAGCTCCCAGCTTCCAAAGATCAGAAAACATCTTTGTCATATCACTGTTTTAGAAAGATGCACTCCTTTTGCCACTGCCAAGAAACATTTTTAGCAGTTTGGGCAAGTTGCTGAATCCATCTATCTACAACTGAAACTCTGAGCACTGTGCTGAGTCACCAGTTCAGACAGCCACACTACATGTACCCAAAGGAACAATTCCTACCTTGTCCACTTCTCAGAAACTAAGACATTGATAATAATTTACCTTCATATTGAGAGCAGCCCTGAGGAGAAGGATTTGTGGGTGCTGGTGCATGAGAAGCTCAACGTGAGCCAGCAAGCCATGCTTGCAGCCCAGAAAGCCAACTGTATCCTGGCTGCATCAAGAGAAGTGTGGCCAGCAGGTCAAGGGAGGTGAATTCTACCCCTCTGCACTGGTGAGACCCCACCTGGAGCACTGTGTCCAGCTCTGGAGTCCTCAACACAGGAAGGACATGGACCTGCTGGAACAGGTCCAGCGGAGGGCCACAAAGACGCTCAGAGGGCTGGAGCAGATCCCCTATGAAGACAGGCTGAGAGAGTTGGGGTGGCTCAGCCTGAAGAAGAGAAGGCTCCGGGGAGACCTTAGAGCAGCCTTCCAATATCTGAAGGGAGCTCCAGGAGAGCTGGGGAGGGACTCTTTGTCAGGGAGTGCAGTGACAGGACAAGGGGGAATGGTTTTAAATTGGAAGAGGGGAGATTTAGGTTGGATATTAGGAAGAAATGCTTTGCTGTGAGGGTGGTGAGACCCTGGAAGAGGTTGCCCAGAGAAGCTGTGGCTGCCCCATCCCCGGAGGGGTTCAAGGACAGGCTGGATGGGGCTTGGAGCAACCTGGTCTGGTGGGAGGTGTCCCTGTCCAGGGCAGGGGGTTGAGACTTGAGGTCCCTTCCAACTCTGACCATTCTATGATTCTATGATTTCCTGACAGCATCACCCCCTCATGCCCACCTGGCACGCTGTGGAGCACACCCATGGACAGGAGCTTTATTTGTGTGGACAGCTAGGAAAAGTAGTGTTACAGACCTACCATGAAGGGACAACTTAAACCAAGGTGTGAATCTAAGCTGATGCCCAGAACATCAAGGGTCTGTGCAAAAAGCTCACTCCTGTGAAAGGAGGAAGTAAGGAAGGCTTAAAGGGGTAAGATTATTTTAATAACTCTTTTTAAGCTATTGAAAACTATAATGAGCCTCATCCTCTTTTCGGAGTAGAGCCCAATTAGCACATATGTAAAATAGCAGGGAGGAGATCAGAAACGTACTCCACCGAAGGCAGGCAGCAGCAGCACTGGCCAAGAAATCCCCTATCCTGGTTCTGGGAACAATCTGGACTCTTCTCTCCTCCTGTCGTTGCCAGAACCATGTTCAACAAGACGCTAGCAAAGCCCTTCCATGCTCACAGTGAAGAATAACCAAACATTGCCACGATCAAACAGTATTTCCAGATAAAATTGTCACAGTGCCAAAACCAGCCTGTGCACTTGAAGCTGTTCAGCTGGTTGGAGCCTCTTGCAGAAGCATTATGAGGAAAGTTCACTGACAGTGCCCAAGGTTCACAGCAACCACGAGTCTCACTGATGCCTAAGTTTCCCTAAGGTAGAACAAAACAGAAATACAGAACATCTTGGTACCTTTTTGGCCTACATCTTATAAAAATGCTATTTATGCAGCTGAATTTAACACACACAAGAGAAGACAGAGGCACTTTCCCAGTGATTATGTGCTCTGTAGTAATAGTTTTCAGGTGGTGATTCAGAGACTCCAGAGCATTCAAGGAAGATCTAATGGTTTATGCCAATAAATTACACACATCTCATTGGAAACAAGCCCTAAAAAGGGTGAAGGGAAAACACAGCTGAGATCAGACAGAGAGGGATCCACACTGCTGCATGGGGTTCAGCCTAGACAGAGGAACCTGTAGACTTATTCCTCACTCCCAAATCATATGTCTTTGCAGGCAAGCTCGCTATTAGTGATGCTGTGCCAAATTAGTCGTAAAAAATCGATACCCAAATGCCAGAAGTGGTTTTGATCAGAATATTTTTTAGCTCCACTGTGTCTCTTCCTTTCATCCCATTCCTTTGTTGCATGCCCTCCTTTTGGCAAAAATAAAGGTGATTCTCACCTTTATCTCACTGATTCTCACTGATTCTCACAATTTGAGTGGGACGGGGAGAAGAGGAAAAGGACAGAAGAAAAAATGAATTATGCAAATACGACATGAATCATTCAAAACTGTGAAACCTTTTTCAAAAAAAGCCAGGTCTCTCCACCATACAGAGTATATAGTGACAAATTCAAGCAAAAAAATACTCATGGAAGACCAGCATCCAAGTATTACCCTCAGAAGCTCCACCAGCAAAGGGGCTGAGGAGCTGATGGTGATTTCCTACACCGACTGCTTCAACCCTTTGTTTTTGCTTAGACTGCAAGACCTCCTGGACTCTGAAACGTGTTGGTTTCACGTCCAGTGTGTCCACAAAATGGGGAATCTGCAACTGTACAGAGAGATACTACCGCCACCAAAATATTCATACAAAACTTGAGGGAATTTTCAGGAGGGAGAAAACAGAAACACCTCCCCTGACTATATATTGGGTATACTGGAGGGTCAGATTCTGCCTCAGCACTGGTGTTAAATCCAGAGTCACTCCTTTGAAGCCAGCCACATCCTCTCCAAATCAAACTAAGGTCCTTTGCATTTAAAGAGCCACTTGTCACCATAGGCACAAAAAAACCCCCCGAAAAACAGTTCAGTGCCTGGTGGTAGTACAAAAAAGGAACAATGGGTAACTTTAATTATTTAAACTTCTCAAACTGATGGTTACAAAAAGGGCGTAAAGAAAGTCACAGATC